AAATACAAATATTCATACAATTTTTACTACTAAATAACTAAAACAACCATGTTTTTTAAAGGTATTCAGTGCGTAAAATCCCAGGACGCATATGTGCGTCGCCCGGATCCAAAGGGTTAATGGATATAAGACATGTTTGATGTTGTTTTACGAGAATAAATTTCATATCATTTATCATAAATAAATTTGTATTTTCGGATAAAATCATTTCAGTTTTATACGATGCTAAATATGTATGAACATCTTTGATTTTAGACATTTCTAATAATTGTTTAACTGTTATATTTCGATGAGAAATAGAAATTGACAATTCATTTTGATGATCATATTGAATGATGTGTATAAGAATACAGATTTGAAAATGAATTAGTTTTTTACTGTCCGAAACATAATCGCTAATAGGATTTTCCATATCTAAACTATTAAGAGTTTGCTTTTTTGATTCGTCCAATATACAAACTAGACAACAATCTTGAGGAGATATTTTTAGATTTAATTGATTAAGATATTTTGGATTGTTTAGAAGATTCTGAACAGAACATGATTTAAGAATATGAATCATTTGAATATTGTTATCATAGGAAAGAATTATATCTACAACATCATCTCCATTAAGTATATCAACATTAATTGATTCAGCTTGACCAAGTGTAGAAGATATTGTTTGATTATCATCAATGATATTTTGCTGTTCAAGATGCCAGAAATTATAACTATCAATCGTTTTATCTGATTTGATACCGAGAATTTTTGACCATAAACTAATTTGTTTCCATGTTGTTATTGGATTAAAATATTGACTTTGTGTTTCATCTGAAATGAATAAAAGAAAAAAATAAACATGAAAATTTCGATGAAAACATACCTTGACCTAGTGTAAGAATCAATTCACAACAAATATGTCATCTGTACCAAGTTTTACAGGCAAACACATGTAAGTTTCAGTTTCTAGACTCTATCCTTTCAGTCTAGGGAATTGATTAAAATCGATTTTATTGAACTATGATTATTATTAGTTGATTTTTCACGATTTTTGCTTTTAAGGATTATAATCGATTTGATATTGATTACTTCTAAAAATTTCTTTTAACTGATTAATAAAAAATTGTACATAATCGATGATAATCTTTAATCTAGTCTCGAAAATCAGAATTATTGAATTTTCATCGATTAACTTCATTTCAATGGGATTAAAATTATTGATATGTTAGCTTTTCTATTAATTTTTGTTACATGGGACTGCTAAAGTCAGTATTGACTAACTTGTCAAAGGAAGGATATTAGATACGAAAATTTTTCTGTTGAAGTTGCGGATCTTGAAGCATTGAATGAACAAAAAAGTATTAAAATTTGTCTCTATCTAGTGCCCTATACAGGGTGGCCCATAAATAACTGTGCGATAAGAAATTCGAATATCTCCATTACGGCTCGAGCAAACGTGCTGATTTTTTTACCAGCGATAGAGGCATGTATCAAGTTTATATCCATAAAGACATGTCCAGGGAGACCCTTTGTTAAGTATTACTATTGCCCTCAACAAGAAAAATTTACCTTTTCACAGATAGAAAAAAAAAGCAGTACACTTAACAGAGGATCTATCTAGGCAT